GGACTGTCTTCATCAAACACATTCCTTGAGCTGCTTAGGTCGATACTCCCTAAACTTAGTGTGTCGTCTGAATCAGTGGCACTGAAATCTTCCTCCTCAGAATGAGAAAACAACTCCAGCCTCTCTAAATCCTTTGTCTGATACACCTAGGGTTTCTTTTTTCCAGCGACACCGTGTTCGTCTTCTCCGGTGCGACCCATCGTAGTGAGTTCCCAGGTACAGGGAGATTCAAAGACTGCTGGTTTCGGCCTGTGGAGCTCAATGAAGATGATGATAGATGGTTGTTACCATCTATCGACGCCACTCTCCCCCTCACGTGCCAACTTAAAGGTGCATTTGGGTCCCTTAGATGGGCTTTTTAATTTCAGTCCAAATCTGATTTTAATATGAGACTCCCCCTGTCCCACCTTAGACAGGCCCACAATGGGCGGCCCGCTACGAGTTTTCCCCACTCTTCTATAAGTTGGCCCGATTTTCTTGGGCCCACCTCTTTGAAAAGGCCCACTCCTATTTACCTGGACAAGATTGGGGAAAGACTGGGCCCTATTGATGATGCCCGACTTTTCAACTCCCCTACTCCCTTTTTCCTTCGATTCAAGAAGTTTTATTTGCCCCTTTTCCCCATCTGTCCTGTGACCAGGTGTGCTTAATGCAGAACCTTTACCGCCATTAGTAACTGCTAAAACATAAGATCTGTCAGACCTCCAGCTAAAGTCTTGTGAAGCACGTCTCCGATTTTCCTTCTTCAGCAAAGCTTATGAATTTCCAAATGCTTGCTCTCCCTTTTTTGTGTATGTCTAATTCTTGCAGATCTACCAATCCCCTTCTGCCACGTAATGCTTCTTCCTCAATCTCCCCATCTTCCTCCCTTCGAGCTTCCCTCCACATTCCAGCTTCAATGGAGGAAAGCCAACCAGACCTCCATGAAGGCTCCTTCCACTCTCAAGTTTACCTTCCTGGGAATTTCCTCCGGCTTTACTCCATTTAATAATATAGCTGCAGACCTGAGGTCTCTCCAAAAGGCACGTACCAGTCTTACTCCGCACAGTACTGCAATAGCTTCTGCAACTTCAACCTTCCAAAGATGGAAAGGTAGCCCAACCACACGCACTGTTACTCCATCCATTATCACGGATTCCTTCGAGTTTGACGAGGGAGACCATCTGAATGTATTCACAGACCCCAGTTTATCTTGCAGACATACAGCCTCAAGATTTGGCTTGTTATCCAAAGGATCAAGTACCGCTTTGYGCTCATTAAACGGGGTTAATACATATGTAGTCTTCATCTTCAGCTGTTTTGTCACCAAATCAGCAATCTCCTCCCAGCTTCTCCCCTGTCTGTCAACTTCAACAATCAGTTTGTTCGCCCAATCTCCTTTTTCCTCCGATACCAGTATGGCCGCTCTATTTCCATCCTGCACCGTGGTAGGAACCATTCAGTTAGGGGGTTCAGGATACATTACTGTTTTCGAGTGAACCTTTTTTTCCACCTGATCCAAACCTTTCTCCTTTTCCATTTTCGTTCTTGATAGAAACTCTCTCAAGACTTTGACGATTTCAGTCCACCCTTGGCTCTTTCTTCCTTCTGGTACACAGACCATTTGCTTCCTATTGCTACCAAAATACTCTGTAAGTGCTATGAAACAACCCTTATGATTTTTCCTGCATTCCACCTCATACCTCCGTCCCATCTCTGTTATGAATTCTTTCCAACATCTCTCMTTTCCCTTTGCACTTGCTGCATCTTCAAAGTTTAGGAACCATTCTACTATGTTTAGTCCTACCAACAACACCGTAGCCAGCTTAGCTTCCCTGATTTTCAAGTTAGTCTGCCCTCTGATTTTTAGTTCCTCCAGTAGAAAGTTCTTTTGCCTCCACCTTGAGATACTTCCTCCATCGGTTGGCTTCCACAAACTTCTTCTCCTCCATCTTCCCCAGCAACCATAGAAATGAGTTGGGTTTGCTCTCTTAACAGTCTCAACCAAGAGAAGGAAAAGGCATGCTTCAGTTATCATATCATTATGTGTGCTTTCTTTTTGTACTGTCATATTAATTGCCACATTTTTCTAGGCATATTAATGAGCTTTTGGGGGATGCTTTGGCATAGAACATTGGATGTAACTGCTTAATTACTGCTTAAAAGATGCTTCAATTCTTAACTTAGAAACATGGTATTTATTCAGGGAATCCCTACAGGCTTCATTTAAGGAAGCTTCAAGGAGAGGTAGGGCTAAGGATGACATTGAGATTGGTTTGGATAAACAGGGGCTGTCCAAGTCAGGTGCCTTGCAGTCTGATGGGGAAATTTGTTCAAGAGATGATTGAAGGCAAATGAAGATTGTTCAAGAGTCTGATGGGAAAATTGTATAGCTGCCTTGCATTGCTTGGTGGGGGAGTTCCCTTTACTTATTCGTGCCTCCCAATTAGGGCAAAGGCTTTGGTCTCATTAACTTGGCAACCGGTTCTTGATAGAACTGACCAAAGATTGGTAGGATGGAAGAGAAGATACCTTTCTCTTGGTGGTAGGATTACTCTTATTAAGAGAATACTGTCTAACCTACCGATGTATTACCTCTCATTATTAAAAGCTCCTACTTCTATGATAAGTTCAATAGAAAAAATGCAAAGGGACTCAAGAGAAGTGGGATAGGATCTGTAGGGAGAAGAAGGATGGAGGTTTAGGAATTAGAAAATTGAAGCATTTCAATAAAGCTCTTCTGGGGAAATAGCTATGGAGATTTGGTACTGAGAGGAAGGCTCTTTGGAGGAGTGTGGTGGCTTGCAAATATGGGGTGATTGGTTTGGATGGGACTCAAGAGAAGTGAAGACATCATGGAAGGGTATAATGTGCTTCCAGTCGTCTTTCCTTAACTGCATGTTGTTCAAAGTTGGAGATGGCTCAACAATCAAATTTTGAGAAGATGATTGGTTAGTCATTGGAAAGTTGTGTGACCTTTGCCCACGATTGTATAGGTTGGGTAAAAAGAATAGTTCTGTTGCGGAGAATTTTGAGATCAGTCAAGGTAGAGCAGTGTAGTGTTCAAGATTTAGAAGATCACTTTTTGACTGGGAAATCTAATAATTTGGAGAATTACTTGTAAGGCTACAGTCAACTGAAACACAGGCAGACAGTAAGGATTCAAGGTGATGGAAAGAATTCTGAAATGGGCTGTTTTTGATTAAATCCTTCTACAAAGCCCTATCAAGGAGTGGTGAAGAAAGTTCAGAGTTAAAAGGGATTTGGGGAAACCCTATCCTGCCAAGAAGCAGAGGTTTCCATTTAGCTAGCAGGTCTTATTTATGTGATAATGCAGAAGAGGATGTCTTACATTTGTTTATTGATTGCCCCTACTCTAAGTTCATATGGGGATTCTTCTTTGGACTCATCAAGGCGAGTTGGATGGTCCCCTATTCAGTAGAGGAGCTATTCTCTAGGTGGCCAGGTGTTAGGGGAAATATCAAGGCAAGGTGTTGTTTATGTGATAAGTCAGAGGAGAATGTCTTCCATTTGTTTATTGATTGCCCCTACTCTAGGTTCATATGGGGATTCTTCTTTGAACTCTTCAAGCGAGTTGGATGGTCCCCTGTTCAATAGAGGAGCTATTCTCTTGGTGACCAGGTGTTAGGGAAATATCAAGGCAAAGATTGCTTGGAGCTGCATTCCTTTTGTTGTATGCTAGGAAATTTGGAAAGAAAGAAATGGGAGAATATTTGATGATGATTCCTGATCTAGGGACCACATCACTCTTCTGTGCGTGGAAGGGTATTATGCTGGTTTAGAAGCTTTGTCTCTCTATTGGCTTTGTTTTTTCTACTGGTTTGGTTGTACTTTCTTTTTAGTCTTTTGATTGTGGTGGTTTCTCATCACCCTCAGTTGTACCTCTTTCTTTTTTATTTACTACCAAAAACAGGCAGATGAATTATGGTGAGGGTGGTGTTTTTGAAGGGGACAAGGGGAGAGAAAAAGGAGATGTAGTTGGCATTGTTTAGGTAGGGGTGGTTAAAGTTTTTGAAAGGACAAAGCCTTTTATCTTGGGAAGACCAACAAGAAGAAGTGATTATTGATAGCCATTGAAGAGGTGATGACTACAGAAGTATTTCAGGCTCAGGCCAAACAAAAAAGTGAAGAAAACAGAGAAGTCTTTAAGTAGTAGTGAGGTTAATACTCAAAGCCCGAGTTGCAGGTTTTTGGTAGCTGTTCGGAAAATGGTATCACTAGCTTTGGGGATGGGTTTGTTTTCTATTTGTTGGAGCTTTGATGGGTGGAAATTGATTTGTTTGGTTTTTTTGGTTTTATTTGGTTTAGGGTGAAAGTTTGTTGTCCTTTTGGTTGGAGAGTTTGGTGTTTGGGTTGTTTTCTTATATGGTTGAGTTGTTGGTTTGGAGTTGTGGTTGGGTGTAGATTTGTTTCTTCCTGCTTCTCTTTCTTCTCTCGGGTGAGTTCTGGTCACCTGTCTTGTATTTTTTTTTGCTTTTCAACGAAATAATTTTTTATTTTACTATCAAGTTAAAGGCATGCTGATTAAACACTGAATATCACCATGACCACCATCCCACCTCCCAAAGCAGTCATCAATGCTAACATGGACACAAACCAAAAGCATTAACACACACACATACACAATTCTAAATTGCATGCGCTTGAGAGAATTATAAATCAATTGATACTTTTGGTGTTTGTGAACAGGTGAACGTTTGAGCCCTTGGGTAGCTGTGGGCTGCTTTACGATGGGTATCTCAATAATATTTTCCTGAGCATTGAGGTTATTAATCTCTATTCTTGACTAGCTTCATCAATCCCGCGGGAGCAGCAGATGCCACACCCTTTGATGTTATCCGATTGTTTTGATAAATAAGCTAATGATAAGTCCTATTTACAAATGCTCTTGGCAGTGTCTGTTGAGTGATATTGTGTGCTTTTGCAAATTAAAAAGGAAAAAAAAAAAAAGAAAAGCGATGGGAAATTTGCTTGTTGGTGGTGACTCTATTTCCACAAAGATGTTGGTCGTTGATTTTTCAGGGGTGGATCTGTGGTTTTCTGGGTTTCCCTCGGTAATTGCCCGGCTAGAGATGCAGCAACCTTCTTTTCTACCATCAGATGACATATACAAAAACTATCGATCCAAAAGGTAGCGGTGGCAATTGAGCGGGGCGGGTTGGTTTGGTTTGGTTTGGGTTGAGCTTCAACCCAACCCATCTAACCCGCCAACCCATTAATGACTCACTTATATAAAATTAAATGGGTTGGGTTCAACCCAAACCCGCTTTAAATGGATTTAAAAACAAACTCTCTTAACAAATAAGTTGGTCATAGCTTGGTGGTAATTGTAGTTCTTATTTACACAAGTGGTGAAGGTTCAAATCACATTACATGCATGTTATTTTTACACAAGCGACGAAGTCATTTGACTATGTTCGGATTTCGGGTTTGACCGAACCACTTAGGTTCAAATCAGTCAAACCAATTTGAACTATCTAATTGGATTATTTTCGAGTTAATCACATCAAGGGTGGTTGAACCGTTTAGATCTGGATCAGTTCGGTCAGACTAAATCGGTCCAGTCAATGGTGGTTTGACTTGGACTAGACCATATCAGGTTTGTGCATGGGTTTGGGACTGAATTGATTGACCCGAAGCAAGTCAACGTAAGTAAATTGGGTGTTGGACCAGATTCGGGTCGGACTGTTTGGATATTGGTTAGGTCGGACGAACCAAATCGAGCAAAGCACATGGACATTGAACCATCCTACACGAAAAGTTTCGGATTCGAGTTGACCCGAATAGGCTTGTACTGGGTCGGGTCGGGCTGTGTGAATGCTGTTTGGACTGGACGACCCAAATCGAACAGAGAAAGCGGTACCAAACCATCCCGCCTGAGGTATATTTTGGATTCGAGTCGACCTAGATCGGCTTGTACCAGGTTGGGGTCGAGCTATGTGAATACTGGTCGGACTGGATGACCCAAATCAGGCAGAGCAAGCGGTATCGAACCATCCTACCCGAGGTTTGTTTCATATTCGGGTCGGCCCGGATCGGTATATGCTGGATCGGGTCAGACCACGTTGATTTGGATTTATGTTGGGTGAAGTGTGTTGATTCAAGACAAAACTAAATTTTTCCCCTTAATTGCTTAGCTATAATATTAGACCATAGGATTAAGAAAGATGGTTTAGAAATTTTACTTGAATCATATTAAGAAAATATGAATATTGAAATTGGAAACAAAATAGAAGAAGTTAATAGTTTATTATCTCTAGCGATGAGGTCCAAGAATCTAAACAAAACATATGCATCCAAAAAGTCTTRAGAGGAATGATAAACAAGTCTTATCGGGATATAATAGGTTAAATGGAGTTCCCATGTCAATGACTCGTGAAGGAACTCGGTTGATGAGGTACATGGTAGTGTGGATAGCATCTCCCTAGAAACTTATGGGAACATTAGAATTCAGCATGATGCTTCTGGCCACCTCCAATATATGACTATTTTTCCTCTCAACAACCCTATTTTGTTGAGGTGTATGGGGACAAGTGTTCTGATGGATAACCCCATAGTAAAGGAGATATGAAGCCAATGGTTTTGCAAAGCATTATCGGATTTGAAAGCTTTGATTTTGACCCCAAATTGGGTCAAAACCATCTAGTGAAAAATCCGAGTTAGGGTAGGGACCTCATTTCGAGAACGCATAAAATAAACCCATGAGAAACAAATGTAATCATCAATAAACAACAAAAAATATCTATATCCCCCCATAGCAGTGATATGATATGGTCCCAAACATCAATATACACAATTTCAAAATGAATAGTACTACTTTTATTACTCAAATAATAGGTTGTTCTACAGTGCTTTGCAAGTTCACAACTTTTACATTTTAAATTAGACATTTGAACCAACTCAAACAAACTAGGAAATAAACTCTTCAAAGACCTAAAAGACAAATGACCTACCCAATTATGCCAAAGCATAACTTGGCTTACAGACTGAGAAACTGATAACCCCCCCCCCCCCATTCTCTATCGTCCCCATGTGAATGCCCTCCAAGCTATCACCTTGTCTCCAGATCCTAAAAAACGCATCGATCAGAAAAGAAAGTCACTAAACAATTTTGATTTTTAGTAATATTACTAATTAAGAGTWCCCCCCCCCCCCCATTCTCTATCGTCCCCATGTGAATGCCCTCTAAGCTATCACCTTCCTTGTCTCCAGATCCTAAAAAACGCATCGATCAGGAAAGAAAGTCACTAAACAATTTTGATTTTTAGTAATATTACTAATTAAGAGTACGTTAGTACTAAATTTAGGAACATGCAAAACTGAGGATAAAGAGATGGCATTAGACAATCTAATGTCTCCCTTACCAAAAATGGGAACAAGGGAGCCATTAGCAATGGACACTTTGTCTCTGCTAGAGTATAAAAAGTAAGTATTAAATAATGAAGATAAACTAGTCATATGGTCAAATGCACCTAAATCTATAACTCAATAAGGTTCATTGTTACTTGGGGTTGAAACATGATATACTGAAGCCCTTGTACCTGAATGAGCAAATGTGGAAGTGGGAGTAGTAGATGTATCCGATGGCTGAGATGAGGGTGTTGAAGTTCCAACTCAGTTTCAAATTGAATTAGGGTAGCTCGGGCAATAATATCTATCTATATTTATGTTGCTGTTAGCATACCATTTATGTAGTTATTAGCATGTTAATAGTGTTAATAAGTTAGTTATTTCTATTATTCTTTAGTTGTTGATAAGTTATGTTAGGGGCAATATTGTAAGTTTGCTATGTTTTAAATCTTCAATATAAATAGTTGAGTGGGGCGGCAATGTAAAAGTCAACCCATACATTCTCTGAATGCTTTTCTCATCAATTTCTCTCTCTCTCTCTCCCTTCTTCCTCTTATATTCTTTGATTTTTCTTGTTGAACTCTCATCAGAGTAGGATTGATATGGCAATCGTCTGGTTCTTGGAGATTATTGGTAGAGCTCAACAACTTTTTAAGAGATTATAGAGCCTTGGAAAGAGTTCGATGATCAGGAAGAATTAGAGGGAAGGAAAGAAATTTAAGATTAGGGTTTAGACTGAGGATTGGAAGTGGCGGCCAACTTTTTCTAGATAAGTTCTAGTCTTTTTTTAAGATCGACACCAATCAAAAATTTATCAAAGTGATTTGGAAGGAGTAGCTGCTTTTTTTTTTTTTTGATTTGTCCTAGGTATGGCAATGTTGACCCCAACCCATCTCACCCACCTAACCCACCCATTTAAGATGTGGGTCATTATGGGTTAAGTCATCCATTTGGGTCAAGGAAAGAGGGTTGGGGTGGGTTGGGTCGAGGGTACCCATTGGGCTGTAAAGGGTTAGGTCATTGTGGGTTAAGTCTGCCACTTGCTAGGTCGAGGGGAGGAGGTCGTTGTTCTCAGCCGGTGATCGAAATCACCAATGATTTTCACTCTGTCTTCTCTCTCTCTCTCTTCTTCTTCTTCCAGATCTAGTTTCGCATGGAAAATTTCTCTAATTCTTTTTGTCCTGGCAGATTGAACAGGCATAGTTTTGTAGACACAGATCAAAGAGATATGGGTTTGCAAACACAGATCAAAGAGATATGGGCTCGCAAATACAAATAGAAGAGATCTGGGTCCGTAGACACAGATCAAAGCGGCATGGTTTTGTAGACACAGACCGAAAAGATTAAACTAGATCTGGTTTAAACCTAGATTTGTGTTCATCGTCTTCCTCTGAAATAGATCTGGGTTTGCAAAACAAATCCACAACATGTAATATATTTTCTCAAAATTTCTTATATTTTTTCTAGATTTTTTGAAATTTTCTATTAATTTAAAAAAAAATGATGGAAACTTCTATAAAAGAAAGTTCCATACGTTTTTAAGTTTTATTTGCTTGTATTCAAAAATTCTAATATATTATATATATATATATATATTTGTAATTTTCTACATTTTTTATGTTTGGTTTTCTTATATTTTTGTTATTTATTTTCATTTTTTGCTTTATTATAATTTTTTGTTTTTCCTATTTTTTATATTTCCCAATTTTCTGTGTTTCCCATAATTTTCGTATTTTCTTTGCATTTTATAGTTTTTCTAAATGTTTCATATTTTCTGTTGTTTTTTTTGTGGTTTAAACATTTTCCTATATATTCTTGTTGTTTATTTCAAATTTTTGTGTTTTTTGTATAATTTTTTATATTTTTTGGTTTTTCTACAATTTTTATTTTTCGTATTTTATATTTTTTATATATTTTTTTGCATTTTCTACATTTTTTGTGTTTTTTACAATTTTTTGTTTTTATGTGAAATGATAACTTTAATTTAATTTTTTATTTTCTATAAAATTTTATGTTTTACATGAAATATATTTATTATTTTCGGTGTTTTGTGCATTTTTCAAAATATTTTTTTAATTTTTCTTATCATTTTTATATTTTCTTAGTTGTTATTTCTATGTTTAATACATTTGAAATAGAAAAAAAAAAATAAAAAATGTCACAATTTGGATCAGGGTGAGTGGGTCCTATAAGTGGGTGATATGAGGTGGATTAGGGTCAGGGTGGATTGTGATCCACTAACGTCAATCAATATATGGGTGGCAAATGAGTTGGAGGGTGAATATGAATGTGTTATACTCAACCTATACCCAACCCAACCAAATCCACCCAGTTTCCATCCTTAATTTCTCCTGATCGTGATCAATTCTCTGTTTTAAAACCTACAACTCTACAGGGTCAAAGCCTGTCCAGTATTCTCTTGCGTCGMTGTGATCCAAACATCAATGTTGTCGACGTCATCAATAGACATGCCGACATCTACMAAAAAAAGTCAAATTGAAAAAGTTGTAATAAGCATATTGAGATGGTGAATACACTACGAATAGAGAGTTGTAGGCATATTAATGAATGAATTATGATGATATGCCACAAAAAGCAACAAAGCAACTAGCTAATGGAATCGTCAATTTAATTCATCCAATTCTCTCATATGCATGTTGTTTTTATTCTTTGGTTCTTAAAAGTGAAAAGTTCGCCGTTGTTGGGCCTGCCAATTGTATATGTGGCAACTGTTGTCACACTTGAGTTGAACGCACGTTAATGTACATGCTAGTCCTTTTGTACATGGAATGTATGCGAATCTGTTGGTGCCGATTATTCCCTACACAGGCCACACCGTTCATCATTGAGTGACAAAACTTTCAGAGACAACAGAATGTGTGGGTCAGCTGTCTGTGTAGGAATAGGAATTTGAATTGAGAGTCTCGAATCTCGATCCAGTAGTCACGTACATTCAATGATTATTTTCTTAATATTCTGATAATATTTAAAAGTGGTCTTTAATATTTTTCAAGGGTAGATGTGTCTACCCGATCAGGACTCATTTGAGCTCTATACTTTTACAAGTAAGCTTTGTTCAGATTTTTCCCCCCAATTTTGTTAGATAATTTAAAATTGCATAATTTAATTAAAACGTCAATGTCTCTAAATATAATTTAATAAAACCAAAACCAAGTTGAAACACATGTGAGAAGGTCCGCAAATGAGGATGTTCGTATGTGTAGATTCCATTTTAAATATTGCCATCCCGCCATTGTCTCATCCTATAACTCCATTCATTATCTTTATGTACATTATGCTAGAATATATAGGCCCATACGACGAGCTTGTCTTAAAAGATGCCCATGTTTTTATTGGAAAGTGATGATTAATTGTGGGTGAATTTAAATTAATAATCGGTACAGGTGAGTCTAGATTGAGCTTTTGTCAAAATTTGAGCGTCCCTTTGGTTTGCAGGAATAAGGGTCTGGATTCGGAATCGCAATGGGCTATTCCAATTCCAACTGTTTGGGTGAGCGGAATCGGAATCGCATTTCCATTCCTATTGGAATGGTATTCTTCCATTTGAGGGAATGGCCATTCCTTGCCCCTCCCCTGAGAATGAAACCCCATTTCTACTGATTTTAATTTCCATTTCTATTCTTGTCTGAACCAAACAGACTATGGGAATGGACCATTCCAATTCTGATTCCGAAAGATTTTGATTCCGATTCCGACTAGGAATCAAACGAACCCTGAATTGGCTTGATCTTGAAACAATGTAAAATGTTAACTCAGGCCAACCCCAAGTTGTAGCACTACCCAAATGAAAATGTCATAGATCTATTTCTGGATCAATTTTACTTAACAAAGCTTCTGCATGGCATATGTCCTTACTAGTAGAATAGATATAGTGGAAAGAGGAAGTTAGGAGTCTTCTCATTGCACTTTCAGACATCCTTTTCATTTCCTTTTTTACACATAGGGTTTATTTATTTTTAAATTTAAAAATATAAATAATCATAATAAAGTCCTCATCAGATTCTGATTCCAGACCTCTTTTCTTATGAAACAAATGAACCCTTAATTTTCTTTAACATTCTCCCCCCCCCNCCCCCCCTCTCTCTCTCTCTCTCTTCAATGGTTAATGTTTGTAACCCCTCCTCCCATTAATCCCTCATTCTCTCCTCTTAAATCCCTTTACATAATTAAAGGTATAAATTGGATGAATTGAACAGGAGGCAATCCAAGCCCAACACCTAAGACATGAACATTGGGCGTAAACATAGATGAAAGTCAATGACCAAATTTACCATCCCAAAGCCTACCTAAGCTATTGGAAATTAGCTTGTATTGAGCTAGAATGAATTGTTTAGGTTTAGGGATCTTTTTAAATTGGATATATACCACAGTAATTGTAAAAATAGTGAAGCTTCTTTTTTCTTTACCTTCATATAATTTCCTAGATTCTTTGGTAGTTGTCAAACAGTTTCAACGTGCGCTGGCTAGTTTGCTGATAATATTAGATTAGTCACTAACTGACAAATTAGATTAAGTTTATTTAAGCTGCTAATTCTATGTCTATCGGGTCCATCTGTGGGCGATACATTTAACCCTCCCCTGGAATTGTTGCTGCTGAGCTATTAGTTATCAGTTTATTACCACCACCAGTAAGACCACAGAGCATGAAACCTGAAGCGCACGCACATCTCACAATTATACTATAACCGTACATCGTGAACATCTCCTCATCAATTACAACAGATATTCCTGGTGTATGGTTGTTGTGTGTTGTAAATAGGCTCGTTGGTAGGCTCGACGTCTGTGCAAAATCACTGCAATTTCTGTTCTCCGCAGCATTGGAGTGTTGCTCGTTTTTTTTTCCTTGCATTGTTTATTAATTATTGCAAGTGGAAATAAACAAAGCTACAAACCCTATCAATTATTAAAAGTGGCAGTTTCCAAGAATCAAATGCTGCTCCTATCGTCCCTCTTCAGTCTTCGATGAGTCGAATTTCCAAGTAGAAAGTGAAAATTTTCAGAATTCTGACAGAAAACGTAATGTCTGAATCAGAGGAAGAAAATCCATCCTTGCCTCCCAAGTCGACGGAGCTCCCTCCAACGGTCGAGCGGGATTCCATCATGGACCTCGATCTCTATCTCGATCTCGACTCTCCCTGGTCGTTTGATCAGAATCCTTTTGCCTCCAACCCGGGGTCTCCGTTTCTCCTCCCTTTGGTTTCGCCGTCTCATAACCCACTTCTTTTCTCGTCTTCTGAGCAGCTCTATTCCCCTTCGTGGGCCTTGTTGGATGCTGATGACGACAAATCCGGCGTCAATCATCCCAACTCCTCTCTTCCCGGAGGTCCTCGGCTTGTCGATCACTCTAAACTTATTTCATCATGTAACTTTATCTAGATTTTCTGTTCATTTAGATGACTCGTTATTCCGTCCCAATTCTGCAACGTTTATGTGAAAAATCTGTTCCATGGTGTTAGATTTCACGGCTGGTTTTGTTGGGTTTTTGTAAGTCAGGATGCCTTGCTAAGAATTTTTGTTACATATCTTGTGGTTGTATATTTGTATGTCATCTGGTTTTGCTAAGAATTCTTTTTTCTTTGGTAGGGGTTGAAGAATAACTTAGTGAAAGATGTTTTAATGGACTCAATTTATCTATTTGCTGTAACTTTTATTTCCAAAAAAATGGGAATTTTCATATTACAATAGAAACCGTGACTCTGTGAATGAAATGCCACTTTATTTTGCTTAATTTACAATTTTCATGAGTTTCGACCACTAAAAGTCTTTTTGGAAGATATCCATTTGATTATTTCTTGAAAGCTCATACAGTTTTGTTTCTGGCCTCTCTCACGTGGCTAGTGTTGTTTTTTAAGAGAAAATGTCCTTTTCTGTTAATTCCTCACCCCAAATTTTCTTTATGTTGGGTTAGAAATGGAGAATTTTCTTTATTGTCTTTTCAGAAAATAACTTCTGCACTGCAACTGCGAAGGACTTCATCCGAAGTCTTTTTCATTCTATGAACTTTTTTCTTTTCCTTTTCTACCTTTCTTTCTTTCTTATTCAGTTCTGAGTAAAATGCATTTCCTTTTGGTAACTTTCCTTGCCAATAATGTTCAGAAATTTATTTTTTCCCTCTCACAAAATAAAAAATCATTCATTTTTTCCGTTCTGATTAATAAGTTTTAACATTCCATCAATTTGTTATTTTCTTTACTTGTTATACTTTGTACATTTTCAAAATGCAATATATGTTTTCACTCAATTACAACCTTTTACTTCAATTATTTGCTTCTCATTTGAGAATTTCACATTATCCAGTTAATCCTGATTCCTTAACTGGAAATATCACGGGGAATGATGATAAAAGAAGACATGTTCCTACACCTGTTCTGATTCCACTACAAGAGAATCTAGATGGATATTCTGTGATCAAAGAGAGGATGATGCAGGCACTTCGGTACTTCAAAGAATTGACGGAACAACATGTTCTAGCTCAGGTTTGGGCACCTGTAAAGAATGGTGGCCAGTATGTACTCACGACTTCTGGACAACCTTTTGTTCTTGATCCAAATAGCAATGGACTTCTTCAGTACAGAACGGTTTCTTTGATGTACAAGTTTTCTGTGGATGGAGAGAATGATGGAGACTTGGGGCTTCCTGGCCGTGTTTTCAGGCAAAAGTTGCCTGAATGGACTCCAAATGTTCAGTATTATAGCAGCAAGGAGTACCCACGTCTTAGTCATGCACTTCATTACAATGTTCAGGGAACCCTGGCTCTGCCAGTATTTGAACCTTCTAGGCAGTCTTGTGTTGGTGTTGTTGAGCTTATAATGACATCACAAAAGATTAATTACGCTCCTGAAGTTGATAAAGTCTGCAAAGCTCTTGAGGTTGGTCTCTCTTTAGTTTCCTTATGTGATGTTCTGTAGTTTTCTCTTTCGTTTTTTCCCTCTTTTTCTTTTTTTCTTTCTTGAAGCTCTTTGTGACTCTTGGAAGATAAGTGTGTTTGTCTTCCACTTGTAAATTTTCTACTGATGAATTAATGAAAGTGTTATTGATCAAAAAAAAAAAAAATTAATTACCAGAGAGGGGGGTGGTAAAATGTCTTAACTCTCCACCATCAAATTACAAAGAAAGAGGAATTAGAAATTAGCCCCAAACRAAGACACCCTATTCACCCCTTGCTTTGCTAACCCATCTGCAAGTGAGTTGGCAACTTGCCATTTCTTTTCACCCAGCTGTAGTTCACCTCAATGTCCCTAACAAGCCATTTAAATTTTTTTCCTTTCATTGCTATAGCTCCACATGCTACTATTGTCTTCCTTTAGCCATCCAACCACCACCTCCAAATCACCTTCAAGGACCAATCTTCTGATGTCCAACTCTCTAGCTTTTTGAATTCCTTCCAAAGCCGCAAAGGTCTCATCTCTGAGAGAGCCACCTTCTCCAATTGGGCTTGAAAACAAAGCTAAAATAATCCCTTCATCATTCCTGAACACACCCCCAATCCCAAAAGGCCCTGGATTTCTTAAACTACTCTCCCATCAAAATTCAGTTTTAAACAGGATCCTTTTGCCCCCATTTGAATTCGTATGTCTATAGAATCAAGAATTTTTGGGGATTCTTGACTTCAGATATTGAAGATTAATCACCTGTATGCTACATGGTTGGTTGACTGCATAATTGTAATCCCCTTGCAATCAAGAATTCATTTTGATGACGGTTAACTTTTAGATGTAAACCTGTCCTTCATATCTGATAGAAAAATACTGGTTGTAGCAGAAAAGAAAGAGAAAAGAAGATTACAGCAGAATAGAAGAAGAAGAGAAAGGAGAAGAGAGTTCAATGGATTCCTCCCTCCCTTCACTAATCTTTTATTTATCTGAATTAATTAGGCTAATTACATGTCTGCCCTTAAGTGGGCGTCCAACTAAGCAATAACTTAAAAGAAATTAAAAAGGAGTTAACAGGCCCATAAAGAAAAGGCCCATTAACACATAAAATAAATAAAACACTACTTAAACATAAAACAAATACTAGGGCCCATTTGGCCCAGTCTCTCTACACTTTTAAAAGGTGAATAATGGACTCATTGAGAAATAAGAGAAGTTTATAAATAGGTTGGTTCCCAGTTTCCAGTCAGCCAAGAGCGAGAATGTAATATAAAGTTTAGAGCAGCATAAAATGTATTAGCTTGCCTTGCCTGGGTGTAGAAGTGATTGTAATTCAAAGTTGTGTACTATCATACAACAAAACTAGGTAATTTTTTTAACAAAATTGGTAAGTCCTCTATGTGAACAAGTGATCGTAATTCAAAGATCTGTATTTCTTGGTTGAGGGTTATGATTTATTAATGGATGTGTAGAAAAACTGAAAAGATGAGATCAGAAATATGTGCATTTAGAGTAGTAACCGCAGTAGGTGATAAAATGAGTGAAAGTAGGTTAAGATGGTTTAGTCATGCGCAGAGAAGACCATCCATGGCACTGGTGAAAAGAAGTGCTATTGCAGTTGAAGGGTCCAGAAGAGTTAGGGGAAGGCCTAAAAGGACATGGGTTGATGTAATTAGGAATGACTTGAAGGCCCATGATTTAACAATGGATGTGGTACTAAACAGTGTGGAGTGGCAGAACAGAATTTGTGTAGCTGATCTCATATAGTTGGAACAAGGCTTAGTTGAATTGAGTTGAGGTGTTCCTCCAGGATCTTTGAATGCTACTTCCTGCTAGGTCAAAAAGGCTTAGCTGTGATTGTGGGTCATTTCATTCTAACCTCCAGGATAGTTGAATGCTACTTCTTGCTAGTTTCTGGCATTTGCCATTTTCTTTTTGTAAGTATTTTTTTCCTAGGATTTACTTGCTTGTCATGGTGGTTTACCATTTACACCATTTTCTTTTAGTATCCTTGGGATTCACATGATCTTGGGCCTGAGCCACTTGGCATACATTACCGTTTTTCCTGTTTCTTCAGCACAGTCTTCATTCTGGGGGAAAGAGCTGAAGTATAACTATAATTATTTTAATTTATACTTTCAAAAAAATAATTATTTTAATTTATAGAAATGAAGGAAAAGGCATACACTCAGTACTAAAGAATCATACCTAATATTTCCTTTTGGTTTTATCCCATTTTTGGTGGATGTGTATTTTTCTTTATGTCTTTCATTTCCATGTATGTAATGCAACTTCAGCTTTTTTGCAGGCAGTAAATCTAAAGAGTTCTGAAGTACTGGATCATCAAAATATACAGGTACATGCAACTTCATGAATGCATGTTTTTACTGTTTTTTTTTTCTATTTTTGATCTCCTTTTTCCTCACACTTGTGTACTTGGCTGCATTTCTTAACCAGATTTGTAATGAAGGTCACCAAAATGCCCTGGCTGAAATCCTAGAGATATTAACTGTAGTGTGTGAGACCCATAAATTGCCTCTGGCTCAAACTTGGGTTCCATGCAAGCATCGCAATATTCTAGCCTATGGTGGTGGTATGAAGAAGAGTTGCACAAGTTTTTATGGAAGTTGCATGGGGCAAGTTTGCATGTCTACAACTGATGCAGCATTTTATGTTGTGGATGCACACATGTGGGGATTTCATGAGGCATGTACAGAGCACCACTTGCAGAAGGGACAAGGAGTAGCTGGGAGAGCATTTTTATCTCATGGGTCATGTTTTTCTCGAGATATCATCAAATTCAGAAAAACCGAATACCCCCTAGTACACTATGCACGCATGTTTGGGTTAACCAGCTGCTTTGCTGTTTGCTTACGGAGTACTCACACAGGGAGTGATGATTACATTCTCGAGTTTTTCCTGCCCCCTAGCATCACAGACAGTCGAGAACAAGATACCTTACTGGATTCTCTTTTGGGAAGTATGAAGCAGCATTTTCGAAGCCTGAAAGTGGCCTCTGGGAAAGGACTGGAAGAAGAAAGATCTGTTGAAATTATTAAAATATCTGCAGATGATAATCTGGAACTTGAAGGTGTTAAAATATCCTCTGCAATGGAAACTCCTGTGGGAAACAATGACTTGCCAAATGGGGTGGAGAAATTGCATCAAGATTCACAAGAGCAGCAGAGCATAGTGGAAATTGATGGTCAGAAGGATGGAGAGAATGTTCTTAAAACAGATGGAACCCACTCCACACTTTCTGTACCTGATAAAGGCATGAAGAAACCATTGGAAAGAAGGCGTGGTAAGACAGAGAAATCAATTAGTCTAGAGGTTCTCCAACAATATTTTGCTGGGAGTCTGAAAGATGCTGCAAAGAGCCTAGGCAGTAAGATTATACACTTGCTAATTGCTGCAATTTTACTCAGATTTTGTGTGTTTCCAAATGTATTGAACTCTTTCATAAAGATGGATTTGTTGTAGTTCTTGAAATTTGTAACCTAAATACCTCATTGATGTCCTTCATTTTGCAGTTTGTCCGACTACCATGAAACGCATCTGTAGGCAGCATGGTATCTCTAGGTGGCCATCTCGCAAGATCAACAAGGTTAATCGTTCTCTTTCGAAGTTGAAACGTGTCATTGAGTCTGTCCAAGGTGCTGATGGAACATTTTCACTAACTTCTCTTGCAACAAGTCCACTTCCTATTGCTGTTGGTTCTAGTTCTTGGCCTGTTAGCTTGAAAGGACCCAATCAACCACATTCACCAAGTTCTAAGCCCTTGATATTTCATAGGGCAAAGGATGGAGAATCACCAGTAAATAAGACAGCTGAGGGTGATGGGAATGGAGATAAAGAGGATCAAATACCTGGAGGAGGCAGATTATTAGCTCATCAAGAACTCGTCAACCGGCAAAGCATGCCTCATTTGGGCTTTCCTAAGGTTCCTAATGGATCAAGAACAAAAAGTGGTTCAGGGGAAGAGAGCACTGGTAACCCTACTTCTCATGGATCATGCCAAAGTAGCCCTGCAACTGAAGCATCCCCTTTAAATGATCCATGCACTACATCTAACCAGGAACTAGGGATAAATACATGTAGTTCCTTTGTGTTGGTGTCTCAACCAAATGGAGAACTAAATCTATCAGCTGCATATTCTATCCCTTCTGCTCATATAACTACACTGCCACAAACACCTTTTGGTGGAATGTTAATTGAGGATGCAAGAAGTTCAAAAGATTTGAGAAACCTCTGTACTACAGCACCTGAGGCTTGTCTAGATGAGCGGATCCCAGAATCTAGTTGGACAAATCCTCTATGTCCTAATCAAGCCCCTCAGCAGGTTGCACCTCCCCTGAGTCACACAATGCCACATACCCAAGATGTGAGGAATGTGACTATTAAAGCTGCTTATAAAGAAGATATAATAAGGTTTAGGCTCTCTTTGACTTCTGGTGTGGCTGAATTGAAGGAGGAAGTGGCCAAGAGGCTGAAGTTGGAAGTGGGTACATTCGAGATCAAGTATCTGGATGATGATCATGAGTGGGTTTTACTAGCTTGTGATGCGGATTTGCATGAGTGCATGGACATCTCAAAATTGTCAGGTGGGCACATGATCAGACTTTCAGTGCAGGATATAACTGCCAACTTTGGRAGCTCTTGTGAAAGCTCAGGACACAAAGTAGGTAAAATTGTCATACAAATCTTGTAAATTATAGTGTACTAGGCAGGCCAAATGGTAAATTTGTTTTGGAAACCTGCCTCATTGTTGTAAAATATTTTCCTATTTGGATTAGAGAAATAAAACTATGCTCCTTGTGCTAGTTTTTAGTTGTTGATTATGTTCTTTCTTGCAAGTTATAACTGTCCTTTTGCTAGATTCCTCCATCCACTGGGCAATCCAATTCGTTTGGGCTTAAATCAGTTATAGCCCTATAAGTTGCACCTATTGGACATTGTTATCAAGGTGAAAAGGTGCTCATGGAGGGTAACCTCACCTAATTACCATGGTATTTTGTACATGGTTCTCTTGATACTTTTATATTTTTATTTTTTAATAAAACATACATTTTTTAACCAAAGTGTTCAGTTTATGAGTTAAAATACCAGTTTCTTGTTTATTAGGGTTCAACCAACATGTGTGCTGTCTTGAACTCTCGAATAATTCAAAACCTGAACTGATAAGCAAGGAAGAACACAATTTTTGTACAATCAACACATTGATTCCTATGACAAAAATAGGGATTCAACTCTTCTATTTTGTGAAGTTTATTTTCTTTCTTTCATTTTTTTTTCATGAATATGTTGATTTTCTATGTTTTAAATGAAGTTTATACATTTTCTATAAAGATTATAGACAATTTCTAGTGAAAGATGGTTGTTGTTTGCTATAAAACCTAGGGAATTTCCTTTGGATTCATAGTTTTTATTAAAAAAAGGGTAAATTACAAATAGGTGTCTTGTACTTTGGGGGTTGTGACACTTAAGGGCCTAAACTTTCAAGTGGGACACTTTAGTACCTTGAACTTTTAGGAGGTGTACACTTGAGTCCAATTTTGTTAAAGTTGACATTACATTGAGGGCAAAATCAAATAAATGCCCATGTTTAGATTCTCTTTTGCTCACTGAACTTTTATTTTACTCTTTTTCTCCATGTGAATCCATCTCTATACTTCTTTTCAATAAAGAATAAAAACATTTAAGTGGAAGGACAATCTGGGAAAAAAATAAAAACTGAATATGGGCATTTTTTGTAATTTTATCCTAACCACAACATTAGTTTTAATATAGTTGGAATCAAGCATATATTTCTAAAAGTTTAGGGCACTAAAATGTCACACTTAAAAGTCCAGGCCCTCAAGTTCCATTACCTCCAAGTTTTGGGGTACGTATTTATAATTTACCCTAAAAAATCCATCATTCAGTTGAAGACAAACACTTGTAAGACTCTTCAAAGAGAGCCATTTTGGTGTTCTCATCTCCCTTTATATGGTTTGAGCAAGTTGTGTATTTGCTATTTATTAATCTTTTGTCCTTTGTGTTCAATTTTGTTAGAGGGAGATTCAAAGTTTTAAGAATATCTCCTCTCTATCTTTTTGTTTTGGCTTTTTGTCTTTTCTCTCTTTCTCTCCTCTTGCATGTAGGTAGAATACTCTTGTTCTATATTGCTTGGGAAAAGAATTGGCTTGGAGTTTATTACTAGGATTGCTCTCCCTATGTGCAAGGACCCATAGGAGGAGAGCAATATATATCTCTACATGCATGTGAGGGGGGGTTGAGGGTGCTTTCCACACACGTGCGTACGCTGAGCCGAGCCAGGTCAAGGCATGGGCGAGGGTAAGGGTGTGGGTGCATGTGCACGTATATGTGTACATGTATGCGTGCACCATACCGAAACGTTTTTTTTTTTTTGCCTTTGATTGGTTTAAACCGATTTGACCTTTGTATTTTAAATGTTTCTTCTTCTACTTGTTTGTTTTGTAGCTCTGTGTCTCTTTGAATGGGTGTCATTCTAGAGAGACTTTTCTCTAAAAGGGTRCATCTATGTCCATTTGAGTGATTTAGAACACTATAAATAGTGTTTGTCGACCTAGTAAGATAACCCAAAAAAAAATCATAGTCCTCTGTTTGTTTGTCTTATTTTCCTCTCTCTGGTGATTCGTGGAGATTTAATTAGTGAATGCATGCCTACCAGTAGCCTATGGGTTGTTTTATCTTGGTGGYCGATTTGCACTCGTAGGGGCAAATGCAGTTTTAAGGAGAGTGACCAAGTTGCATAACTCAACCCGTTCTAACACATCTTTCTCAATCTCTCAGTTCTGCATTTTTAACAACAATGCTCTTCGGGTTTGGAAAGCGGGTTGACTGATAAGTTTCATTCTACCTTGTATTAATTTTACAACAATTTTAAAACCGCATTTATGGAACCTATCTTTGCTAACCTCATCATAAGGAACCAGATACTGTCAACTTTTCCTGATTTCTCTAAAATTGAACATTCCAATGGAACTAATTACAAGTGTTGGAGATAATGCCTTCTTTTTTCATTAGAATAGTTAGGGGTAGCCTTTTCTTTGATAGAAGCAAATCCACTGAACATGGAGGAACCAGTCTGTTTTGTTATTGCAGAACACTAAATCACTACTGACCACCTTTGCAAGAATCATATCTTGAATTGCTTGTCTAATGACAACGTTTATTGCTCCTATAACTTTGCCTATGAAATATGGATTGATTTGGACAACAAATATGCTTTGGAAAATACGAGAAATAAAAAATGTCATTGTCAATTTTCWATATTTTACATGAAAAAAGATATGGAAGTGTCTATCCAAATAGATGAGTTTCAGGTACTTGTGGGGGAATTAGCAAAGGAAGGTATGATACTGCTAGATGAATTTATTACCAGTTTTCTCATAAAAAAATTGTCACATGCATAGAATGATTTTAGAACAAGTATGAACACAAGGGAAATGATACTATTTTGGACCAATTAGTGGTCCAAATCAAAATAGAAGAAAACAATAGAAAGAAAGATGAATATGAAAAAAATTAGATTTCCAAAACCAATCCAATGAAGGAAATGACTACAAAATTCAAAAAGAATTTGAATATAAAAATAACAAGAAATTCAAGAAGCAACAAAAGAAAGGAAAATGTTATGTATTTGGCAAACCTATGCATTACAAGAAGGATTGTCGTCACCTAAACAAAAAAACTTTGGGAAACCAAAGGTCAGTTTAATCGAAGATGTTATTGCAGTAATGGTTACCAAGGCAAACTTGATTGATAAGCCGAATGGGTGGGTATTGGATACTGGTGCTACCAAACACATATGTGGAGACCGTGGTTCATTCTATGAATATACAACTCAGACTGAAAGATAACAAATCTTCATGGGAAACTCATAAATTTCGAATTTCATTAGTAAAGGAAATATGCTCTTGAAATTGACTTCAGAAAAGATCCTAATGCCGAATGATATGTTGCATGTATTAGAAATTAAGAGAAACTTGGTATYGGATGCATTCCTCAACAAAGTAAGATTAAAACTCACATTTGAAACAGACAAAATCGTGTTAACTAACAATAATATATTTATTGGAAAATGATATAATGTTGGTGGATTATTTGTACTAAATATTTCTAATATTATTATGAATAATGCTTCTTCTTCTCTTTCTGCTTATATTGTTGAATCATTTGATATTTAGCATGTTAGATTAAGACATCATAGTGCTCTTTATTTAAAATGACTATGCAAGTTAGGAGTTTTGAATGTTTTTATAAATTTTACAAATGAAAAATGCCACCAAGCATGTGTAGAAGCAAAATTTACTAAAAAGCCTTAAAAAGTATAGAAAGAGAATCTGAATTATTGCAACTTATATATAGTGATTTAGGGGATCTTAAGTTTCATAAAGCTAGAAGAGTAAAAAGATATTATATAATTTGTATAGATGACTACTCTAGATATGCCAAAGTTGTATTACTTAGATCAAAAGATGAGGTTGAACAAGCTTTTATAACTTATAAGACTGAAGTAGAAAATTAGTTAGAAAATAAAATCAAAAGATTTAGAATTGATAGAGAGACTGAATATGATGGAAAAACAATCAAAAAATTATTTGAAAAGAATAGAATTATACATGAAACTGTAACCCCTTAACCTGAATCTAATGGAGTTGTGGAAAAATTTAATATTACATTAAAAGAAATGATGAATGTTATGCTAATTAGTTCAAGTGTACTTYTGAACCTGTAGGGGAAAACAATCTTAACGACTTGTCAAATATCATTTGAACTTTGGCATAATAGAAAATCAATTTAAACTACTTAAAAGTTTGGAGTTGTTTTGCAAAAATTGGAATACATGAACCTAAAAGAAAGAAACTAAGACCTAAAACTTGTAACTGTATATTTATTGGATATGCACAAAATAGTGTAGCATACAGATTTCTTGTGATGAAAACAATAGAAAATGTTATAGAATACAACACAATTATTGAGTCCTGAGATGCAAAATGCTTTGAACATATCTTCCCTTTAAAAAATGAAGCAATAAATAGGTAATCACCACAAGTCTATAATAGAAACCAAGAACAATAGTGAAATGTTCAAGAAACTAGTACTTCGGTTAATTAAGAAAACATTGATTTTAGTAATCAATAACCAAATTTAAGAAAAATAAAAAAACAAAGGAAAGAAACAAACTTGGGTGGCAAAATATTCACATTTCTAGTGGATAAGGACCTGATAACATATCAAGAAGCAATAACCTCCCCTAATGTAGTATTCTGAAAAAAAAAGAAGCATAAAAAGTGAAATAAACTCTTGGATCACTAATCACACTTGGAAGTAAGTGAATCTCTCACTTGGAACTAAGGTAGAAAACTATAAGTGGATATTTAAGAAGAAATTAAAGTCGGATGACACAATAGACAAGTTTAAGGCCAGATTAGTTGCTAAAGGCCTAAAGGCTATAAACAAAAGAAATGTATAGATTTCTGACACATATTCTTCGATTGCTAGGTTAACTACAATTAGAGTCTTGTTTGCTATAGCATCCATTTACAAATTTGTGATTCACTAAATGGATGTAAAAATAATTTTCTTAAATGGGGAATAAGAGGAAGAAATATATATTAAGCAACTTGAAGACTTYATAGTATCACGACAAGAAAACAAAGTGTGTAAATTAATCAAGTCTTTATATGGCTTAACAATAAGAAAATTTTATTCTTTTCCAATCACACTATGTAGAGAGTATACTTAAAAAATTTGGACACTATGATTGTAAACTTGTTAAACATCGCTTGGTTGT